AACAGAAACTACCTGGAACAAAATTATTATTTCTCACGGTATTCAATAGTGCCAATATTCAAAAACTTCAAGAAACTCTTTTGGACATATTTAACTCATGAAAGCATAATAATTAGAAAAAAAATGTTAGAACTCACGATTGAATAGAACATAATCCGGGCTAGTAGCCTATAGACCACGACCTAGATTTTGTTACCTTTACTAGAAAAAAATATTGTCAAGTAGTTGCAATTCGAGAGGCAGTGATTTTTCATTCAAATTCAAAGTTTGGCAGAACTGTACTAGTTTTCATTAACAGTAACATTGTAATGCCTGCAGCTTTGATTGTCAGACTCACTTTACTTCGATCTCGTTATCTTCTTCCACGTGTTATTAACCGTACCGGTTTCACTGTGACCAGAAGTGAATAGACTGTTACTTTCAGTAATTAATTGTAATGCGATGTTGGAAAAAATGCAGTTATAAAGATGACGTTGACAGTATTCACGAGCAAATCTGTGTTAAATAGTCACAGTCTTTGAGTACTTAACGAAAAAGTCAATGCCTTCTTTTTTCATCCTAATTTGTGAGCTGTCACTCATTTTCTAACAGCTTTATGACTATTTACCTACAAATTAATTACATTGCAAATATCTGAATTAAAGAAATATCAGGAATAACGCAATCGAGAAACATGGAGAGTCTAGAGCTGTTGCGCTTGATATTTCTAAGGCCTTTGACCGTGTGTGACATGAGGGTTTGCTTACCAAACTTACGGGTGTGAAGTTAACCACATCCACAAAGTACACTGAGAAAAAAATATCGCATTATTATTTTTTTCATTTACCGACTCTGCACACCTACCATTCTTCAATATGATACGCTTATTGACTGAATTAGTAAAAAAACAGAGCCGTCCTAGTTTATTAAACTGTCTAAAGGGGTAAAAATAGGGTGGAAATATTTAAAAAAATCGTAACATGAAAAATCGACTTTGTACACCTACAAAATTGAGATATGTTATTCTTGATGATCTATTCGACTGAAAAAACTTCACGTTATAGTTTCCCAGGCCGTCTGAGGGGGTGAAAATGGGGTGGAAACTTGAAAACATCATATACTCAAAAATTGAGTTTGTACACCTACAAGATTAAGAAATGTTATTACTGACACCCGATTTAACGAGAAAAACGTCACGTTGTAGTTCTCCAGGCTGTCTGAGGGGGTGAAAATGGGGTGGAAACTTGAAAACATCATATATTCAAAAATTGAGTTTGTACACCTACAAGATTAAGATATAACATATCTCAGATATTGAGATATAACATCTTGTAGGTGTACAAACTCAATTTTTGAATATATGATGTTTTCAAGTTTCCACCTCATTTTTACACCCTCAGACGGCCTGGAAAACTATAACGTGAAGTTTTTTCACCTGAATAGATCATCAGAAATAACATATCTCAATTTTGTAGGTGTACAAAGTCGATTTTTCTCTCTTAGAGTGCCTTAAGTATTTTCCTGTAGTGCTTGTGTTCTGTCCTTCTGGATACACTGCTTTCAGTAATCAAGACAATAATCAGATCCAGTTCGAATAGGATTTCTGGAAAATGAGCTGTACAGAGTGCCTGGAGATGCCAGACACTGGAAAAGCTAACATATGACGTGACAATGCAACTTGGTCAACTACTGGTCTTGTTTTATATACGAAATAGTATAAGAAATGACAATGATGGAGTGTCTGTCTTGAAAAGATGGCTCGAACATTACATTTATATGAGTTACAAAGGACCAATTGTTTTTGATTTGAATAAAGAAAGAGATTATCATCAGGGTCCCATCGCATTAGTATTCAAGGAGTAGTTCAGGCTGCTTGATAACTTTTCAGAAGGTCTCGCGATTGTGATGGATAACAGCAGTTATGATGGTAAATGGTCCTAAGAGTCGAAGACGTGACAGCAGAGAAAAGAGAGTAACTTCTTTCGGAGATTTTACTGGAGATAGAGTGCTGTGTTGGGTTTAAAACACTGAACTTGAATTCATTAAATACGTTACTACTGAGATAGCTAAAACTGAAAACGTTTCGCTTGCCTTCTTATCATTGTAAATTGAATCCATTCGAATTAATTTAGATTCGGCTAAGGCTAAAAGGTTGCGTTAGGGCATTTGAACACTAGATTGGTAAGGAGAGGAGACAGAAAATTGAGACAAATTAGAGAAATTATTTGGGTTAATCTGACGGATATATGAACAAAGGAAACAAAGGTAACGGTATCTATAATAATTGACTGCAAACCCTACCTATTTGCTGGTTTTTATCATTAAAAAATAATTGTCAATGTGGCTCTGAAAATCCTGTACAACTCAGTTCTTTACCTCAGATGAAAAATGCAGCGGAAACACAATGAAATAATTCACATGCAAATTCAACACCAGAAAGATAATGTTTTAATACGTGCTGGAAAATTGGTTCATCACTATACAGGGTGTGACTGAATAAGTGTAAAACATTTAAGGAGGTGATTCCTCATCGAAAAAAAGATAGGATCTTTCATATAAAGAAACTTCATTAGAGCATCCCTTGTTAAGATACAGCCCCTTAAAGGGGGTACATTAAATTTGTATTACAATTTTTTTCAAAAGCACTGAAAAAGTTACAATACTGAAATTAACCTGAAGTTTTGTACTACCAAAAAGACACTTAGCCAGTAATTTATTTGGTTTACCCCATGGTTGTAAGGGGTGGAAAACGCAACCCCTAAAATTTATTTCCAATGTAACTCTTTGTCTTATCATTTGTTTACCATTTGAAAATGTATTTCCGATAGCCTGTTTCATTCTAAACAAAAAATGTCTCTTGGGTTTTTTGCCCAAAATAAACCAGTTCGCAGCAAAAAATTATTTTAGGAACAACTGCAGAGATACATCGTCATAAATGCGAACTGGATGTATTGTTATTTTGTAGTTAGTACCTGCATTAAACGATTAAAGGGTAATAAACAAAACTAATTTATCAATAACAAAACACACAACATGTAGAAATCATAGTAAATGTTCAATATGTCTACCTTCAGACATTACGCATGCGTCTAGACGTTGGCGCATTGAGCCACGTATTCGCTCAAATATTCCTGGAGTCTCTCTGATTACCCTGCACGCATCGATGATGCGGTTTCTTAAGTCCTCTACATCGCGAACAGGAGTACGATAAACCAAATGCTGTAAATGGCCCCAAATAGAGAAATTGAGAGGATTGAGATCCGGAGATCGAGCGGGCCAGTTCTGTGGTCCTCCTCGACCTATCCACTGATTTACATATGTTTCAGTTAAATGCTGACGTGCTACTTGACTAAAATGGGCGGGAGCCCCATCATGCATAAAAAACATATCCCTTCTGATGCCCAAAGGAACTTCCTCCAGCAGTACTGGATGCACTTCTCTTAAAAATTGAACGTTTAATAGAGGAGGTAGCAAATCCTGCTTTCTTTTGTCGAATGAACCATATTCTCGTAATCGTTGATGAAGTCGAGCAAATATTCTATATAAAGATAGAAAGCACTCAATAAAATACCTTATACATTCATTTTCTCGCGTATTTCAATAAAAAACCAATTCTACCTCAAACAGTCACGAAAGATTCAGACGACGTAGTTGGTGACATGGTTGATATATAGGCAAATTTTATTCAAGGCATATAGGATGAATACAAAGTCAAAGTCGTTGAAGAAGTTCTAATAAAAAAAGTCCTAGTATCTCTATCCTTTCGGTTAGTTCGGTTTTCAAATGGTGTGCAATGTCGAGTCATACCTATCGGCCAACTATAACAACGTGTATACCTTACTCGTCACCGGGAATATAAACACTTCCTCATGTCGTTGATTTTCTTATCAGTTATCAGTCGCAAAATCGTGTTTGTTCCATCATTTTAACTCAAAAAAGGCTGGACCGATTTTTCATGACTTTTGAATTTGTCTCTGCCCGGAATAGCAAAATAACTACATTTGAAGAATTAGAAAAAGTAGTGAAGACTGTCTCTCGATGCGGGTTTCGCTAACTAAGTTGCATCATCAGAAGACTCGGTAATCCCCTAATCGATTATACGAGGTATGCTCAAAAAATCATGTGAATATTCAAATCTCGCGGACTACATACATTCAATTAGCAATTTTCAGTTCCTTGAAATGAATTGCTCAAAAACACTTGGGAAGTTGACAGTGGCATATGGTGATTGTACTCTGAGTCAGAAAAAATCAACAACCAATGGATTGTTGAGAAAGAATTGCTGATTTTTGGACAAAAAACCGTCGCATGAACATCGCTCAGGAGCTTCAGCCAAAATATAATACACTATATATT